AAAAGGAGATGGAAGTGAAAAAGGGAGAGAGCTGAGCAAGAGAAACCTTCCTTTCTCTTCTCCCCCTTCCCTCTCCCCCATCTAAAATCTCCTCTCCCCCAGCACCTTAGGAAGGCCTGATACTCAGGCTAACTCTTAACCAACACCAAAGACTGAAGGCCAGACTGTATTTGCCTAATAGCCTCTTTCAGCCCCATCCGTCATGCAATCCAAAACAGAAGCACGTGACAAACCCCTAAGAACATCTGTGTGGGAGGCTATACTTACCTGAGCAGACTAACAGCAGACTATTGTTTCTGTCAGAGAAAGTAATACATCACATACAATATTATGACCCCCCACCCTTCTGCAGGGTTTAAACTTTTTTCAATTGTGATATCAAGAATACAAATCCAGAAAAACTGAACTGTACTGCAACATGACCCCTAATTTAGATACCAATAAAATTCTGGAATTTTCAGCCAAAAGCTACTCCTTAATACTTTGCTGAACCCTTTTAAGTCCCAAGAGTGACCAACAAAAATTTTCTCCTAATGATATCCGTACATTCTCAAGAGATAAAGTTATGAGAACTAATAAAATGATTCCCAACGAGAAAATACCACGATCTTTTATCAAATTCCCTCAACTTATTCTTAAAGGAAATGTATGGAGATCGTTTTGGAGACTTTGCATGTGGATATTGGGGCTTAAAGGGTTAAATGAGCATAGAGTAAGAGAGGTTGTTGAGACCAAATGTGTGATAGGCCAGCCTCAGGCTCTTAGAGTTTAAAGGGACTGTGTCACGGCTGTCTAGTTAATTTTGTTTATAACGTCAGTTATAAAGGATTTTACATGGCCGTGAGGGGATACAAAGAAGAGAAATTTTTTATCTCCAAGCGGCTATGTAATGTTCTAATATTATTATATAAAAACCAATGAATGCCAAACCATCTCACTTAAATAGTTTTTTGCTGCGAAAGGTGCGATTTATTATGTAGCCATAGCAATGGTGATCTTTCCCTGTTTTTGTGCGAAAGTTCACCTGGTATGTCATTGGTGTTTGTATAATAAGTGTCCTTATTCTACCTTAAATTATGACTATGAGGTCTCACTCATTTTATAGTGTGAGTTAAAAAAGGTCTTACTTTTAAAGCTTTGCATCAATTATTTACAAAGTTCATGAACATAACTTGCAACCTTGTATCCCAACAATGCAATAAATGGCATCAAAGAAGTTTAGCATTGTACATTAAGGAAGGGTTTGATTGATCATATTCCAGAATAAGAATTGTGTGAAAGTTTTCAATTTAAACTCTACATACACATACATTGTAATTTTTTTTTCAAGCAATTTCTAGATAATATTGCGATGAAAGGAATGCCAACAGCTGATTCCATTATTTTATTCTTATTCCAAAATATGGTCAATCAAACATGAACTAATTACATTCTCTGCATTTCAATTTGAGCAATGACACTTAAAAGATGTAATTCTAACATGTATTGCAGTTAATGACCTGTTCAATTTCTTTGTAGTGGTAGGTATCTACAAGAGTTGCAGTAACTGTTATTTATTTGCTCATTAAGCNGCGGCTATGTAATGTTCTAATATTATTATATAAAAACCAATGAATGCCAAACCATCTCACTTAAATAGTTTTTTGCTGCGAAAGGTGCGATTTATTATGTAGCCATAGCAATGGTGATCTTTCCCTGTTTTTGTGCGAAAGTTCACCTGGTATGTCATTGGTGTTTGTATAATAAGTGTCCTTATTCTACCTTAAATTATGACTATGAGGTCTCACTCATTTTATAGTGTGAGTTAAAAAAGGTCTTACTTTTAAAGCTTTGCATCAATTATTTACAAAGTTCATGAACATAACTTGCAACCTTGTATCCCAACAATGCAATAAATGGCATCAAAGAAGTTTAGCATTGTACATTAAGGAAGGGTTTGATTGATCATATTCCAGAATAAGAATTGTGTGAAAGTTTTCAATTTAAACTCTACATACACATACATTGTAATTTTTTTTTCAAGCAATTTCTAGATAATATTGCGATGAAAGGAATGCCAACAGCTGATTCCATTATTTTATTCTTATTCCAAAATATGGTCAATCAAACATGAACTAATTACATTCTCTGCATTTCAATTTGAGCAATGACACTTAAAAGATGTAATTCTAACATGTATTGCAGTTAATGACCTGTTCAATTTCTTTGTAGTGGTAGGTATCTACAAGAGTTGCAGTAACTGTTATTTATTTGCTCATTAAGCCATGCAAGAAACAAACATTGCCAATATGCAAAATTGTTTCCGGGAGGCACTGAAAAGCTAATGAACAACAGTTCAAAAACACTATTGTCTCTTAAATGTTTAATTTACTATTGGTATCTATGAAACAGGTGTCTTCCCTTTACCCAGATAGGGAGAAGGACCTGGTTAATGATAAAACAAGTGTCCCCATTTTAGCCATAAATTATAGAAGAAACATTTTTTTTTTCAAAAATCTATTCCAGATTAGCCACCTTGAGGAAACTCACTGGAAATCAGACTGACTTTCCATGTTATACTGAACTTCAATTTGATGAGAATCTCTTGCAGACTTGCGGTCAAGTTGTGCTTTTAGTTAATAAAATGGCAACTACCTTAACAAAAAGAAGACTTTTTGGTCACTTTACCAGCGAAGTATCTACTCTGTAACTATTAGTGAAGAATTCAAACTTTGAAATGCAGTATATGTTTCAACGCATCTCTAACAATAAGTACATTATAACATGACAATCACAGTATCACTACCATGCAGTTACAACATTAAAATAATGCTTTACTGTTCATAAAAGATAGGTACCACTGACTTGAGTTACTACTAAATAAATGAATAACACTGGTAGAAGATGATCAGCAAGCACATTTTTGCCTTTCTTCCTGTTTCCCTGGGCGTATTGATCTTCGAAGAGATGGATCTCCATATTGTATTCCTGATCCCATCCTGTCTGGGTCCAGTTCACCTTTGGAGAGAAAAATAAAAATATGAACGGGTAAAGGAATAAGGCTTTAAGTTAGTGACTGACTTGGTCACATGCAAATCTCAATATTTTGCTTGGGAATATCTTTGATTCAGAAACAAGTGTAAGACAAATATTTGCATTGGGGATCTGACTGGCCATGGTATTCTACAAGAAGCCAGCTGGGGATTGTTTTCTAGGCACCTATTCAATATTTTAAGGCAAAAAATATGTGCCAGAGGAGCACTCTCATGGAGGGGGGGGGGCAAAAGGAGCACTCTTGTGGAGGGGGGGGGTAGTGGAGTGAGCGATATGGCCTCACCCTCACTGGGAAATTTAGGAGCTAAGTTCTCTGAAACATCATTCCCTCATTTTCGGCCTCCTTCACACAAATTGACCATTGTTTAATCTTTAGATGAGAATTTAAAAGATTTGATTCCAACAATTATACCCTGTAGACCTGTCTATCTGTCTGTCTGTCTGTCTATCTATCTATCTAGACATCTGTAAAATAACACCACTTAAAGTGGAGCAACATTTCCACTTGCTTTTAACGCATCACCTTTACACTACGTAAATTTCTCAATTTTAAGATGCTCTTTCCTGCAATGTCAATGGTATTCGCTAACAGGTCTGAGTCAAAAGTTGAAAAGAAGGTGGAAGGGTCGATGAGTAAAGAAATTGAGTCAAGTTATTCTTCAAACATTACAGTAATGCAAATACAATACCTGTCTCTATCTTGCTGAGGATTGTTCTTGAGCATTTCAAGAAGGCTTCTTCAACATTTTCTCCTGTCAAAGCACTTGTCTCCAAAAACATTAACTCTAAAATACAAACATGGGAGAATATGGGTTTTTTCAACAAAAGTAGTATTCAAGTCATACCCTTCCCTTGAGACTGCCACAGCGACACCTCACTAAACACATGTATTAGGAAAAACAGCTCCACTCCCATTGCAATCTGGCTATTAACAGCAAAAAGACACATTTGGCACTGTCCTGGGATCATAATTCATTGTTAATTGTACATTGGGCAGCTTTTAAAACATATAGATATAATTTAATTTCTTCCATTTTTTATCACTGACTTTGCCTTTGTAGTTACATTATTCTTCTTTCTCTTTCACATGCTCTGTTTAATTTTGTTCTCGATGGCATAACTGTTATTTTCATTTTGTTTTGGTAAACTAACTATAGTGGCAATGAGTTAGCAGGATATAGGTCTTGATGAGACAAGACAAGCGCAATAAATGTATAATAGGATATTATAAAGTTGTTGAGCATCATAAAATTTTGGGTGACTCTGATTGACATAGCTCCGTTAATACGTGTCTGCATTAATTAAGCAGGGATGTTATTACAGTCAAAAAACACCTTTTATTACTGAACAACAAAATACTAAAGAAATAAGAGAGGACATTAGCATCGACAAATTTAACATCTCCAACTTTCACAAACTCGTCATTCCATAGACTAAATCCACGGAAACACTAAAAAAATTGCTCGTTTATACACCACTGAATCAAAACTGTTCGCTGTATAACTACCTAGTTTGATGCCTGAAAATAGTCTGAAATTGATGTCTACAAATCATTGTATCTGGTGTACTGTAGCACTGGGAACATTGACATGCTATCACCTGAAGATTTTTTTACCTTCAAGAAGGAAAAGCGTAAAGTTGGTAATAAAGTGTCTGCATTAGTGAGGTTAACTTACTAAGAGAATCTGTTCATTGGGGAAGAAAAAAGTGTCCATTGTCTGCATTAACAGGTGTCCATATTAAGCAGGTTTAATTTAGAGAAAATGTATGGACTTTCCCCAGGGACAAAGAAAACTGTCCCTGATCATGAGGTGTCCATATTAAGTGAGCGTCCATAGATCGGGGTTCAATTGTACTAATAATAATACAAAAAAGGCAATCTCATGATACAGTATTGTTCCACTTTATTAGTAACTGAAAATGCTTATAAACAGGAGAAAATATCCTGTTGTTACACAATACATGTACTGACCATTTTCCTGTGCAAATCTGCTGGCCTCCAGAAAGGTAACTTCTCTATCACTATCAAGGTCTTTTTTGTTCCCAATGAGGATGATCACGATGTTTGGACTAGCAAGTGTCCTTGCATCTGTCAGCCAATTTGTTAGAGAGTTGTATGTTTCTCGACTATAACAAGTAGAAAAAATGCAGGCAAAAATTGAGAATGCAGAATTTGAGGCACCTTCCAAAGTATATTTATGCCTTATTAAAACAATGCCCAATTAAACACTGTATAATAAACATACTTTTTAGAGTTGTTTTTTTACAGTTTACCTTGAGATATCATAAACCAGTAGGGCACCTGCAGCTCCTCTGTAATAACTTCTGGTCACAGACCTAACATTTTACATCAAAATAAGGTAATTATTAATGCATGGAAGCATGTAGGTATATGTGAAATTTGTTTTATAGGCAAAATAAGTAGGAGTTATGACTTACAGCCCTCTTATGAGTTATTCACATCATTCATATTCTTCCTGTGTTTCAGATAAAATCATTGGGAGTGTTTTTGGAGGAGAGGGAAAATAAAATTGAGAGCATCTCAAGAATATCCACTCATGCAGAGGATTGGCTAGGGTGAGAAACAACAACAAACTAGAGATAGGTTGATTTGGGTAATTATGATAAACAGCATTGTTATACACTGGTAGACATCAATGAAATAACAGCAGAGCTCTTGTATGAAAATGTGATATCTTCACATGTGACATGTTATCTACCACATGAAAAGATCACTGCTGTCATTTTTACATGATAAATTCTGTCTTTAAAGTGGGATGGTTTAGCATTTTCTTTGGTGTTTAAATGGCAAGTAAAATATTACAAGGCTTTTCTCTGCGAGTAAAGAAAATATTTTCGAATTTTTTTTTCTACACTTGAAGAGAAATTTTGCATCTCTGCACAGCCATGTATAGCACCCTCTATTTATTCATGATAACAGCTGATGGGTTCAAAAGAACTTGGTAATACCCATTAGAAGTACCTACTTATAAATAAAAGGGTACACTAGCTATAATATAAAAAATGCAAACACATATGTTCAACAGTGAATTTGCAAATTAATGCTAGAAGCTATAAAGCATCTAATTTTAAAACTACCATCTGTATAGCAACCCCCAAAAGTTGTGTCTATTCGCAGGGATATGTACATCTCAGAGGAAGCTGATAGAGTGAACATTACTTTGTTGATTTACCCACCTGAACCTTTCTTGCCCAGCAGTATCCCAAATTTGCAATTTCACAGACTTCCCTCCGACATTCACAACTTTAGAACCAAACTCTACTCCGATGGTGTGGCTAGAATCTTGTTTAACTACCCAAAAAATAATTAATGTTAAGGTTAATGTCGTGCCTTTGTGTGAAATGACAAAGATGATGAAGAACGAAGTAGCAGGATGCCGAAAATTATGCATCAATATCATTAATTGTTCCTTTTTGACATAGCTCAACTCGCGATCGGTCATGGCGTTTGATGATAAAACAGTGACACTTACACTTTCCCTCTATAAACTGATGTAAAATACACGACTTTCCAGTTCCAGCGCTACCGATGACAAGAAACTTGAAGAGGAAATCTAAGGAAATAAATAAAATTATTTTATTAAACACGATGGTCGTACAAAGTACATAAATATGCATCTCAACCAAAACAAGAACCGTAAACCCGGCTGCAAGAGCACAAGATCTTTTTCTACACCTTTCTGCTACAGTTAAGGTTATATTTCGCCTTACCATAGGTCTCTGACATTTTTTCCCAGCAAGTAGAACGAAATAGGAGAAAATCTGGAAGAGGAACACAAAATGTCCGCTAGTTTGAAAATTTCCCAGGATTCTACATAACAAGGAAGAACTGGTTTTCTCTAGAGTAGGGCTGGGAATGTTCTTGACAATATTTTTCAGCTAAATCAGAAACTTGACCTCGAAGTTATTTTCAGGTATTTGAATGTCAGAAAAAGGTGAGAAAATTTTATTTTTCAAGGAACTTTTCACCTTTATTGAGGCCATTCTATGTTAAGTTCTTTTATTTTTCATCATGTCACCCACCCCTCCCAAAGCATTCCGGAACGTGCAAGACCGTCCCATGATGCTTTGTGATCGGAAGTAGTTGCGCGGCCATTTTAGAAAATAACAAATCAAGGGTCGATTTCAACGACTTCAAGCAACAACCCAGAAGATGGATGTTGATCAAGTCGATGGTAATAATCGGTGATACTCACATTTCACCCAGTAGAGTTAATTGTTCGCTTAACTTGCAGTTGCTTTTTGTTTTTCCAAGTTGGTAAAGATACAACGACGCAGTCCCAAGAACGCGATTTGGATTCAAAACTGCTGGGCGCGCGGCCTGTGCCGGTTGTGGTGGCCACTGAAAGTCACAGTTTTGAGTTGGACGAAAAAGCTTTGGAAGACATCTTGCTTCATGAAAGTGTCAGAGACAAAAAGGTTGCTGTAGTGTCAGTTGCGGGCGCCTTTAGGAAGGGAAAGTCCTTTTTACTGGACTTCTTTCTGCGGTACTTGGACCGAGAGGTGAATTTTAGAAATTGTACATGCTTGTACGTATTTTCCTTATTAAAGCTTAATAAGTGTTAAGTATGAGCACGCTTTCTCTTAACGATTTTACTTTATTGCTGGTTTGCACATGAACCTGATATTCTCATGGATATTTTCCTTAAAATCGGCTCTGTTTAATGAGTTAAATATAAACCTAATAAAAATATAATACATGTAAGCTCACTCCTCGAATTTGAATTATTTAGAGTTGGTGGTGAATGCTGCGTTTATTGATACAGGTGGAAGTTCTGGGGAATCTGACCTCAGCGATTGCAAAGTTTTTACCATTCTAGCAAACTGTTTATCCACGACTGGGAAAGAATATTATTTTCTAAAATACCGTGCATGAAAAAAAAAAAAAATCTCAAACTGAAAAGGTTCTAATGCATTTATGCAATCTGTGCCCTCAAAATGTACTATGTTCTAGCCATTAGGGAATGTGAAATGTTGCACAACCGAGGTATCTTCTTATGCAAATATTTGGTTCCCTTTTTTGCTTCAATGTTTTTTTCATAAAGCCATTATGAAAAGGCAGAACATATGAATTTCTTTGTACAAACTGATAAGTGAAGATAGCAGTCTCTTCAGTCAGACAAAATTGAACTTTGCACTTCTAAAAAAATAATCAACATTGGGTTTCTAAAAGTAATTTTTTTCAGTTGATAATAAGAATTCAGAGTTTCTTTAGTGGACGTATGGGGGTTCTCTTCTTGTACTCTTTTTTGTTTTGTTTTTATTTATTCATTTGTATGTTTGTTTGTTCACATTTTTGTATTTTTTAACACTTCTTTTTTGTAAATGGAAATATATAAAATGACTCATATTTTGAACTGTGGATAAACACAGCCTGGGCTGTGCTCTAGCAGAGCCTGGTGGCCCCTGGCACCTAACTTTTGCCTTCGGGCGACTAGAAAATCTCAGACTTTTCATACAAATCATATGCTGGGCACCCTAGATTTTATAGTTTCAGAGCACTGCGCTTCCTGCAATTTTCCTTAGAGTACAGCCTTGTAACCATATGAAAGTGGAAATGATCCTCATAGTTAAATGAACAACCTAAGTGGTTGAAAAAATACCTGAAAACAATTCACGCTTCACTTAAAATTGAACCCAGAGTCAGTACTTTGTATATGATCGTTAGTTTACTTTTGAAAGGTTGTTTTCTATTACATATAAATTTTATTAAATGTAAATATCTGATTTTATTCATTTAATTAAACCAAAAGATTTCTTATCAGGATTCTCAACGGAAGCTGGCACCCGGCAATTGATTGCCGCCTACTTTGGAATTTGTAGCCACTTGATTTGCATTACGTTTGCCACAGCCGCCTACTTAAGGTTCGGCAGACGCCTACTTCAAATCTTATTGAGAACCCTGACTTTATACAGCGTGCAAAAAAAGTTGTGTCCGATGGCCCGGAGCTAGCGGATTTTGCTATCAGGCTAGTGAATTCTGTTTTTAACTTGCCCGATGGGCAAGTGATGTCTTCTTAGGAATTCAAATAACAGAAGAACTGTGAAATCGATTCTGCTAGTCAAAAAGTTTTTGGGGCTAGTTGAAACGACATCTGGGCTAGTAAATGCTAGCTTCAGCTTTCCCGAATGGCAAGCTGTAAAAATGACTTCTTTGCACCCTGTTAAACCATTAATTAACTTTGCTGATGTAACAGTTATTATAATAATTTTCTTGCTAGGGAACATATCCAGACTGGATTGGTGGCGAAAAAGAAGCTCTGGAGGGTTTTTCTTGGAGAGGAGGATCAGAGCGAGATACAACTGGTATACTTCTCTGGAGCAAGCCTTACATTAAAACACTGCCCAGTGGCGAAGAGGTCAGTACAGTGAAAAAAAAAGGTGGCCAAAACGTGTCTTTTCTTTCCTAGAGCTGGCAGCTTACAGGAATGGTTTTATGTGAGCAAAAAGTTCAAATGCAGTGTTTTGTCAAGTCTGTTATAAGTAGAACTGTCTCTTCATAACAGTGTCCATTTAGGGGCCTTCCACTGGTTATTATTATATACATTCTGCAACAGGACAGGTTTCCATTTTTTTTTCCATTCAGTATGATATTCAAACTATAGGAGGTATGCTTTTCTTGAGTAAACTCTGTATCACTTCTATGCTAGTGATTGTTAATGATAAGGCAGTGATTTTATTACAAGTCTTAGTCCAGAACCATTGAGTCCCAGTTCAAAACACAATAATTCCTAAATTGAAAATGCTCAGGCTTTTATGTGACACCAGACAGACAAAAGATTCTTTTGTAAAGCACAGTGAAGACTAAAAGAAATATGCGTCGTTAAACAACAGCCTCAGGAACAGCCACAGAAATCACATGAACTGGATATTCTGCAAAAATATCTTCAGGTTGATTGATCAATCCATCTTTGCATTTTACGGGACATGTGCCATTAACATCTTTGTGTCTTTTGGGATTTTTATGCATTAGGGATGCAGGACGTAGAGGCAACAAAATCACTGAGTAAGCATACAGCAGGGCTTTTGATATTTCGCGCGGTCGCATACCTGCGAAATTCAGGTATTTCCGCGAAATCCCGCGAAATTCCCCAAAAAACGCGAAATACCGCAAAATCCGCCAGAAATATTTCTAAATACATGTCGGTAAAACATATTTAATACTTATCTTGGCTATTAGACCTGTTTTATTCACCACAAACGTCCAAATTTATCTTGAAACTTCGTCACTACAATGGGTAAACAACGTCCCAAAACTACCAGGCATTTTTAGATGAACGTTGCGAAAAACTGGGCACTAACATAATGTTGATAGCTTTAGCATTCGGTCATTTCTCAAGTGTACTGTTGTTGAAAGAGTAAATGATTATCCCTGTTATATTAACGTTATACAACGCTGGTCACATCGATGCAAAATTGATCGATTTTAGCGAAATTTGCTAAAAAATTCCAGCGAAATCGGCTGTTTTTTACTGATTGTTTCTTGGCGAAGTTTCCCCCCGAAATTTCCCGTGAAATCGGCCGATTTTTCTAAGAATTTGCCCCTGAAAATCCCGCGAAATTTTCCTTTTTTTTCCGCAAAATATCAGAAGCCCTGATACAGGGTTGCCTTGATGATTTCAAGTTGCTGGTTGTAAGCATTTAGTAGGTGGGGAAGTTGCAGAAGTTCAAAAGGTCATGCTCATAGCAGCCAGGGGAAGTCCCCAGCCCCCACCCTTAAATGTCAGCCCTGTCATGCTGTCTGGTAATAATAATATTATTCTGTAATTCAGTATTGTGAGTTCATACATGCATGTAAAATAAGCCGATGTGGTGTGACTCACCTGTAAAATGGTTTACAGCACATTAACTTGCATGTGGCTACTCCCCTTTACTTATTAGAGAGTTTAAGCATGACGTTTACGGCAAATGGGGAACATGAGTTTGTGCCATATGACCAAGTTTTCCATTTACTTATTGCTTACTGTTGATCATTATAACTACACAAAAATTGGTAGATTCATGCCAATTCTATCCATAATGTTCAATTGCTTTAAGCTGTTTTTATGTCTCAACTTGAATCTCACATCTGCCATTTACCATAAACGCTATGCTTAATCTCTCTTGTTATTATTATCATTATTATTATTATTATTTATTTATTTACTGATTGTGATGGTTTCTTCAACAGGTTGCAGTATTGTTAATGGACACTCAAGGTGCATTTGACAGCTCTTCAACTGTGAAAGACTGTGCAACAATCTTCGCACTCAGCACCATGACTAGTTCAACACAGGTGATGTATACTGCGAAATCAGTGTGAACGAGTTTCTCTTGATAACAAGGATAAAATCCTAAATCTTAATAATCATTCAAGGCACATTATTTAATTTTGTGATGCTGGAGATAGGTGCTTAATCAAGGATGATTTCCTTTTTTTTTGCTCTGAGCATTTTAAGCCAAAAGACCCACATTGCCATAAAGTTGTGAAAAAACATGAGGTGACTGGAAGAGGTTTGTGCCCACATCAATGTCCAGTTTAAGTATGTGGATTTAGCATTAAGAAAACAATAATTATTTAAAACAACTTTTCTAACCTAGGGTTTCTTCTTTTTCTATAATAGGTTAGGTTACTATAAAAGCTATTCAGCCAGGGGGTGGAAGGGGGGAGGGGGGTGTTGTGCCATCCTTTAGAGTGGGTGCTTAGTATAATGTTGGACTCCAGTTTACAAATGTTGCTGTTAATGGGTACTGCCAGCTTGCTGGCTTACAGTACCAGCCTCTGTAAAATTGTGTTTATTCTAACTTGATTGCGCCTTGTCTGTAGATCTATAACATAACACAGAACATACAAGAAGATGATCTTCAACATCTTCAGGTAGGCAATAGTCATGAAGTTGTTGATAAATTCACTGAGTTGAAGGTGTCTAAAACAGTTTATTGTACACTGTATCTTATATTTCTCCAGCTTTTTACAGAGTATGGAAAACTGGCAATGGCGGAAAGCAACATTAAACCATTTCAGGTAGAGTAATGCTACAACTTTTATTGTACTGAAGTTACTAAAAAAAGCATTAGCAAAAAAAATAATAAATAATAATTTTAATAAACTATAAGGAATTTTAGCCACACTTACTAGCTCGAAGTTTAAGGCATACTGGTATACAGTCAACTCTCGCCTTTCGGACACCTCGCTATTACAGACGGCTGCTTAATCCCCATAAAAAATTATAGACATTTGACTCAAACAAACTTCCGCTATTACAACTCTCGCTAAGGGTGGATTTCCACTGTCACGTAAATTTTTATGTATGCGCGCACATAAATTTTACATGCATAGATAAAATAGAGGCATCTTATGGAAGGTCACGTACACATGCTAGGGAAATAAGATAAGGACAATGAGCATTCTGCCTTATCATGTGTTTCAGAGATTGGTGTTCTTGGTGCGAGACTGGAGTTTTCCATATGAGGCTCCATATGGATCCATAGGAGGAAGCCAAGTTTTGGAGAAACGTCTATGCATGACAGAGAAACAACATTCTGAGCTGATGCAAGTAAGGAGGCACATTAAGTCATGCTTCAGTAACATTGGATGCTTCTTGATGCCCCATCCTGGACTGAAAGTTGCCACAAATCCCACATTTGATGGAAGTTTAAAAGGTTTGTGGATTAAAAGAATGATGTTTCTTGATGCCATGTTCCAAGCATCAAGCTGTTAAATGTAACATTGTAGCATTAATTCCATTTTGACTGAAAAGTATTTTTCTTAATGACTGCCGTGACTGTAGCAGGGCTAGCTCACTTGGAAAAGCTCTTGACTGCAAAAAGGGAGGTTGTTGCTTGGATTTCCTGGAGGGGACCTCTGCTTAGTGTCTTAAAATAACTGAGAAATGAAGTACTGCCTTTGCCCTGCAAATGGTTAGACCTTTACCACGTAAAATGGCAGTCCCGTTTCCAGAAGGGGAATTGAAAATAGTGTCCTCAATTTTTTATTTGTTTACTTTAGGGGTAAATACATTGACACTTAAATAAAGTGCATTTGAAAGTTGTGCCTTATATGGTGGGATTCTGATTGTTTTAGAAAAACCCCAGGGAGAAGGTAATTCAGGGTTCACAAATTACAAATTAGTCCCATCTGCAGGGGTGGATCCAGAAAATTCAGAAAGGTATGGCCAGGGCACTTGCCAGCTATATAGAAACTTTTTGTTTTTCTGAGTTTCAAAAAAAAGGGGTGGCCTCCACCCCCTCAGCCCACTCCTAAATCTGCCCTCGCATCTGCATCTGCAGATGTAAATATTGTTATTCAGGGTTCGTAAATGTCATGGGAAACCTGGAAAGTCATGGAATTTTAACATTTCATTTTCCACGCCTAGAAAGTCATGGAATATTATAGTCTTATTGATAGATTAGTTATGGCCGATGACGAGGTAAGGACAATGTAAGATAGAGAGAAGTGATTGAACAGTTCGAACGGCACGCATTTTGGTGGACACCAGAGTTTGTGTCTGTTGAACTGTTTAAGGTCCAAAAATACCCTAAAACAAGGCAAGTCCTAAAAAATTTTGAAAGTGACAGCTAAATCTAAGGTCTTGGAAAACTAAAAGAGGTCATGGAAAAAGTCATGGAATTTGAAGAGTTCAAAACAGTACAAACGCTGTTACTTAATGAGCATTTATCTTATTAATTTGTCGTAACAGATATTGATGAGGAGTTTAAGACACAGTTACGAGAGATAACCCCTTCAGTTCTCTCCATTGACAACTTAGTTGTAAAGAGTATAAATGGAGAAGAAGTTACTTGTAGAGGACTGGTGGAGTATTTTAAGGTCAGTAATAGCTGTTGATAATTTTTGTGACAGTTAGAGCCATTGCTAAATAGCAGTTATTTGCAAAACAATGGCTGGCACAACTTTTACCACGTTTGAGACAACCCTTTACATGATCAGACTATATTTTGAGTTATAGTTTGATCGCATTAGGGAGGGGTTCGCTCATGAGTGGTAAATCAAAGGGGTTGAACGAGGAATAAGTAGTACACGCTGATTTGCTTTCCATAACACAATGAGATGGTGGCCAAGGACTGTTAACTGAAAAAATCCTACCTACTCCCCTAGCTTGTTTAGTGTTGTAAATAAAAATGTTACTTGTAAATTAAAAACTGAAAAAAAGAATATATAAAGGTTATTTATAGTATGCTTAGCGTAACTAGCTAATTTACAAGCACTCCACTCGTATAATTAGAAACAAGTATTATCAAACAGAACATAACAGGATTAAAAACTTCAACTGACAGGAGGTAACCAGTTAGCTATAACAAGCCTGGCCGCAAGGAGTTAAACTCAGGACAACCAAGAACAAATCCAGCTAGGGGTCTGAGTGTGACTTGAACCTGGGACCGCCAGCTAGGATTTGACCTCGAGACGACCGGAAATAAATTCAGCAAGTGACTCAAACCCGGAACCGCCAGAGATTTGCGAGTCCTTCGCGCCGGCCACTCACCCACGCTACCCGGCGAAATTGTTTGTGCTAACTAGAATGACTTCTTGTAAGCATGCAAATAAATAGTGAAGCCAGTGCAAGTAACAATGTGATCAACTTCGTTTTTTTGTTTACCGATTGTTAGCCTGTGTACTTTCACACTCCAGATGTACACAGGCCTCCAATCATGGATAAGCTCCGGTTTCTTTTTGTAACAGGCCTACATGAAAATTTTTCAAGGTGAAGAGCTACCTCAGCCCAAGTCTATGTTATTGGTAAGTATTTTTTGCCATTGTTGTTTTAGTAATCCGACATACGGCTGTCTTATTTATACGCTATGCTTGATGAGTACTTTATCTTGTTTTTGTTTTCCAGGCGACAGCTGAAGCTAATAACCTTGCCGCTCTGGCAAGTTCAAAGGATTCCTACACAAAGCGGATGGAATTGGTGAGATTTAACAGTCAATTGATTTCTTTTACTTTCTACTCAAGCGTCAAAAAAAGCTTGTAGTGAAGTCACCTTAAAGTCATAAGTAGACGGAAATGTTCGATTTAAACCTGTTTTACTTCTAATCCGCGCCAGAAATGAAAGTAAACTCTGGTTAAGTCCGTCTGCGAAACAGCGCCAAAATCCTTGATTACCTCTCGGACGCAGGCTATTTCCCTTCTCGCCCGGTGCAGACATTGCCTTTCCACGCTTGCGCGTCTCTCATCTTTCAAGAACGATAGGTACGCTGTTCAAAAGAGCGTTGTTTGGCCGCCAAAGTACATAAGTGAAACATAGATAATAGATTTGTTTCAGAACTTTTCAGTTAAAAGAACTGAAAACCTCTGCGAGATTTGTCCGTTTTTTTTATGTATTCTCTCGTATAAGAAGCGCGCGTTGCTCACCCGCTCTCTACTCCTACCCCGTGGCATGGGCACGAGATATTTTTTGGCGCCAAAATTGAAAACGGCGGCGCTATCCACGAGGGAGGAAAACGCACGCAATGAGAGAGGAAACTAGTTCTCCCTGCGCGTGTGCCCTCCTCTCTCGCGCGCATCACTTACTTCGCTCCCCGTATTCCTCGTGCGCCTGCCGCAAAGGCTAAATCCCTCGCCCTAGGTTTTCTCGCTATTTGTCTTGTTCCTTCAGTTTAGAGAGTCTGTGAATAGTCCAATTACGTGATAATTGTTTTTGTTTTTCAGCTTTGTGGTGGTGACACCCCATATTTAGCCCCTCACGAACTAGAAAAGAAGCACGCCGAAGCTAAGGAAACGTCGTTAGCCGTATTTCATGGAACGCGCAAGATGGGAGGAATTGAATTCAGCAAAGAGTACGCCGAAAGACTACTCAAAGAAATCGACGAGGCATTTGAAAACTTTGAGAAGCTTAACGATGGAAAGAACATCTTTAATGCCGCCCGCACACCCGCAGTCTTCTTGACGCTTGTGGTGCTGGGTTATTTTTTGGCGACCGTGTTTGGTTCGATTGGAATTGTTTCTTTTGTGCGCATGTGCAATCTCGTGATTTGGTCTGGACTGCTGGCCATTGTAGTGTGGTCTTACATCCGATTCAGTGGAGAGTTCAGAGAGTATGGTGCTAAACTGGATCACTTTGCAGAGTTTGTCTGGGATGAGGCAAGTATCTCATCTCTCTGATCTTTAGGCCTTGTAGGTGACGGTTTTGTTGGAGCGACGTGAAGGAAACTTTATTCGTGGCTAGCCCCAACGAAACCGACCGCCCGCACTCGGGCCATAACGAGACCTTTTCTGTCCTCTCCCCACCCCCTTTAAGGGATTTCACCCACTATGCAGCCAACATTTCGCTGTTATTTTCGACCGCTTGACATTGAAAGACTTGATGTAGTCTCCCTATTCTGAGACCTATCCCGCAGTAAAAGAAAAAGTAAGCGAAAGCATGAGGGTTAATTAGGTGGGCGTGGGAGAGGGTGGCGTACAGTCTACCTTCTAAAAGCCCTTTATGAGTTAAACTAGGGTATCTAAAAGACAGTAATGCTGCGGCACATTCTGTTGATACTGCATTAGTTAGGCAGTGGGACTTAAAAGAATCGAAGATGACATTAAATGTCCTATTTACATGTTGGAAAGTACTAGAATAATTACTACCAGTCTATAGGAAGAACTCGTGGGAACGTTGTTTAGAAAATGATCAAGTGGTTATCAACTCTGGTTTTCCCACAGTAAATTGTAGGAAATGATAGAAATTCAGATTGTTTATCCATATATTTAATAGAAAAGATAGTACGGTGTACTATCTTTTCTCTGGAAACGCGATACTTTTCTTGCGATGTTTATTGCACTTTATTAAGTAACAGTTATTTAGCTATATATTTATAGAAAACAACTACACAAAAAACGGGAAAAAAAAGAATGTGGTAGCACCATCGGCTCGACGCGACCACTCCTCACCACTACACCACAGAGACTGACTACGTAGATTTGGGAAAAGTCTTTAATTTAATGCCTTTTCCATGAAACTTCAAGATGATCGCCAGCCACATTAATCGAGCTATTAACAGTAACACTTTTTAGTTGAGTTGTTTGTGGCGCGATGCACTCTGGTTAAATGCAATGCATTGTGGTAAAAAGTGATGAATTCGAGAATTCGTCGCCCCTCATATATTTCCCTTAAATCCTGATTATGTTGCTGCTCGCTCCCTACGGTAGCTCCGCCGCAACAACAGCTTTGACTGAGCGCAGAGTTTGTTTGTTCTATCTGCAGTTGCGTATGATCAATCAAATTTAACGATTTGAACGACAAATTAAGCGCATCTGGCGTTTTTCATTGATCACCGACAACTGGCGTTTCGCGCAGGTCTTCTTTTAATTGTGTGTGATCGTCAAATTGTCAGCAATGACATTTTCTAACCTAACGGGGGTTTGGCAGGGGATGATTGAACAGGGAAAAGATCCATCCGGGGTTAGTCAGGAGTCCTTGGGCTCCTGGGGTAGTTGAGTCGATGTATTATTCGAAGAAACTGCAATGAAAATTAGATCTAGCGAGGGCAAACGTAAAGCCGATACTGTAATTACGGAGTTTCTTCTTTTCTGTTTGGTTGTACATTTAAGGTTTTTGGGACTGATGGAATTTTGTGAGTCTGTGTCTCTAATTTTCTCGTTTCTTTGCAGGCGTTTATGCCGGCTTACAATGCCGCTTTTCAGCGTGGAGTTCAAGCTGTAATAGCAACGCAGTCACGCTCAACAAGGAAGACAAATTGAACAAACTAGTTCAGAGATATCAGGAAAATTTGTTTCGCCCACTGGCGTATTACTGTCAGAAACATTGAAAGAACTTAGGTAGCTGTTATTATTTGCACTCTTAAATTGCAAGAACCTTTTGAGTGTGTTTTGCGACGTGCGACTTCAAATAGCCTGTGTTAACTTTGGTGATTATCATTACAATTAATATAGGGTGACTTCTTTTCAACGTTTTTCCAGGCCCCAAGCGTCAATGCTTAATGCCCTTTAAGCCCTAAGAATGATCAGCATGAAATTTCTCTTATCAATGCTTTATAAAACAGAGTGGTCATGAGAATTTAGGACATGATCACACCAGATGAATCTAATGGATACTTCTCCCAACTTCTTTTTTAGGAAACGTATGGGGACAATTGAGAATTTTAATTTTGATATTAGGGTTTAAAGGATTAAGAGTCCCACACCCCCTAGTCCCTGTACGGCGTTTTCCCAGGCCTTCTCGGTCAATTCACTTCGGTGACGTATCACTTCTTCGCTTGGACCACGTGAACCGAAACGAATTGGCCGAGCGGAATAATGAGGCTTAGGGACTAGGCAACATAAGGACGAGGTTGTTGCAAGGCTGGACCCGAGTTGTTCGAAATCCGATTAGCTTCAACTAATCCTGGGCTAAGCGCAAGCAATGTAACTGAGTTGCCTTGGTAGCTATTTCTGGATTTGCGCTAGTCGTTGTTCAAACAACACGGCCTGGCTTTATTAAAAACCATCCCACTTATAGCACGTTGTGAAGCCGTCAGGGTACCCGTTTTCTCAATATTTTGAGCAGATTTTGCCAACCGAAACCATAATCTAAAATCAAAACCTTGCGGAACAGTAGATTCTAGTAGTTCACAAACCAGTGCATTTTGTGACTTGAATGTAAAAGCGAAAAACGTAAAACAGCTTTCCGGGTCCTGAATTACGGAAATTTCAAGAAAAAGGCCCCTGAACAGGCCGGGGGTATCAGAGACCAGAAATATGTAGCTTTTTCGAATATAAGTGAGTCTTTGGTTACACGTTTTAGGAAAAAAGTCGAATTGTAGTCTTATTAGAAGTCCCCGTTGTAAACATCGACAAATACTTCAACAATTATTTTGCTAATACTACTACATGAGAAATTCTAGAGCAGTGGTATTTCAGCTTAATTTGAAATACCCGCATGTGAAAATTACAAACCTTTTGCGGGTAGTAGTAAAGACAAATAATAGCATGGTTTGTGCGTGATATTTGGCCTAAATAACACTCGTGATATTTCAAAATTGTCTCAAATTTCACTCGCCGAACGGCTCGTAAAATTACGTATAGCAATTTTGAAATATCACTCGTGGTATTTACGCCGAATATCACTACAAATCATGCGATTACCTATACTAATCCGTTTGTTACTCTATTTAATTTCTTCTCTGGCCAAGTCTGTGTGTCTGACTTGGATTACTGGACAATAATCGGTATTTACCAAAATGAACGCAAAAATAGATTATTTATCTTGCTTAATATTTCACCATATAAATAATTGTAAAATGGTTCTGGGTCGATATTGTTTGAACTAAAAATAAACTTATTTTATGAAAAATACATTATGTCACCTTGTAAATAGTGAATGATAAATGTTGATATATATACCTGTTTCAATAAAGGTTGCTTTGGGAATCGTGCTTTGATCTTCGAAAGCTATTGTTTGGTGGTCACTCAAGCAAAGCATTGCATTGTATTCTGTGTTTCAATGACCAAATCCCAAAGCAACCTTTATTGAAATAGGTGTATATAGATCGATGGCACATGCCGGGTGTATAGACAAGCTCTTGAACGATTACATAGTACAGTAATGGTTATAGTGAGGGAAAGTTTAAAACGCCTCATGGTCAGTTTCTATGTATATAAGGGATTATTGTGCGAAATAAATAAGTAGTAGCCTTCGGAACCTTATCTCTCCGTGTTTATTTATCTTTGTTCTTTTTATAAAGTGAAATCTGATTCTTTATAAATCCCGAAAATATGGGCCTTGTATTTAAGCAATTGACGTACGATTCAATCGCGCAACATTCGTTGCTCAAAGAACGGCAAACGACTGTGGGTGGTTACACTTGCCAGACATGAAAATATACTTTTACTCGTTCACGTCTTCCCTTCATTGTGGATGAGAAACCACAAATAACACCAAAAACTGCGAATTCTGTCAGCGGTGTAGCTCGGGTTTGGGAATTCGTTTTTGATACGGATAGGATTTCGTTTTAGTTATAAGTGTGACTAATTTTTAACGTAATTAACCTACCTAGAAACAGTTCATAGTTCATGAGGTACAGTAATTATCTCTTAAAGCACGGCTAAGTTGATTTACAAAGGCTAGTTACCCGTTAGTGTTGAACGTGCAATCACTGTTGAAAACTCAAGGAAACTAACATTAACAAAACTATAGCCTAAGTACTTAAAGTTCCAAACGTTGATTAACAAACCTAAAACCCCACCGAACAAATGACAAGTGTGAAAAAAGAATGCGCGAGATCTTTGTTTTTGCTTTTACGAAATATACGGAAAGCTACGATACAACACAACTGGCCGGACTTAACTACAAAAGCAAATGTTTTCATTGTTTCTTGAGATTGGGCAAATACGTGCAAAAATGGTAAAATGGATCAGTCTATGAAACAGCAACAGAACAAACTGAACATGGCAAAATTACAGGTCGGGAACACAATAATCTTAGGACCAATGACAGCCGTAGACTCAGCAGCGGTCTCTTATTTTTCTCTTCAACCGTTACTGAGATAGACACAAGGAGCACTACCTCATTTTGCCCTGGATGCTATACCCTAATGAACAGCGTGTGGTTTTAAGGGTCTTGAGTCGTACTCACGATTTACAATTTTTCTATTTAGCGGCGTCTTGAACACAGTGTCTTTTTGGACCAGAAGCCCAGAAAAGAATGTGAAGGTTTGCGATGAGTGGTCTTCATGTGCGGAACCAACCTTTTTTCCGATAATTCGATTATGTGATGTATGCCAAACGAAATGAATCAGTGTCATGAAATAAGGTCTCTTAAACAGGGTAGTGAAATGAACGATTTAGTCTCAAACAGGGCCAGAGCTTAAAGCCCTCGGCGCCACTTCTACTTTTAAAAATCTCCCCCGAGTGCCCCTGGCAAGTGTAACATGTCTTGTGCCGCGAAAAACGACCTGTGTTAACGTTATAAATTAATGAATTCGACAAACATGCTCGTTGTCTGCTACACGGTCGTTTTAAATTTCGTCACGCAATGCTCTTCTCCGGCAAAGTAGGGAGAAGCGTTGCGTGACGAGACTAAAAACGGCTGTGTAGCAGACTATTGAGTTCTTATCCCGCAGCGAGCATGTTAAACGTGCTATAAGAACTCAACTGACGTAAAAGGCGAACTGCAAGCAGGCTAAATACAGCTCCCTTAGTATCGTCTCTCGGGGGGGGGGGGGGGGTAGGGGGAGGTGGTGAGAGAGAGGAAGACGATGGTGGAGAGTGCTGGGCGCCGGGGCGCCAGACGCCGGGGAGAGAGGAGGGGGGGGGGGGGGGGGAAGAAGAACCCGAAGAGGAGGAGGGGAGGGGGCGGGGGAGGGTCGTGGCGGGGGGCGTGGGGGGGGGGGGGGGGGGGGGGGGGGGGGGGGGGGGTACCCCTTATATAGGCTGTATAGGTAAGTGCGGCGCCAAACGGTATGGTTTTTTAGCCGTTTTTGTCGCCTGAAATAGGGTATCAATTATGACCAATTTGGTCTGAAATAGGGTATGGTTTGTGCACTCAAGTCTTTGAATGTTTACGCCAACCATGTACGTGCCGTAGCAGCTTGTCACGCGTATTGATTTAAGGATCAGGTCTGAAATAGAGTAGGGAAAATCACAGATTTTGGTCTGAAATAGGGTAAGGGTTTCAGGAAGCGTGCCGCACACCCTCGGTGCCGTTTATCAGAGTTTTACTACGTATCTTTTGAACATTATCTCACAATATTTCGTTAACTGGCTTGTTCCACGGTTTCACGTACCCCGTTCCGCTACAGAACGATAGTACTACTAAAATAAATTATGCTGGATGATCTCAGCATGGAAAAGAACCGTTTGTGGCGTAAATTAGTGCCATTCAGACGCGAAAATGTTTTTCTTGTTGTGTTACTCAATTTTCAACCCCAGTTTAACACCCCGCGAAAGAATTTTACTTCGTAAGCCAAAGAGCAAACTCGCGTTCTGTTTTGTTTGATTTGATGCCATCAAAAACTCATTTACTAGGCCGGTGAAGTTAGCAGTAATGAGGTGCTAAATCGCGGCCACCCGACTGGCGCCAGGAGGGTATAATCCAAAGGCAGAGATAACTATTTGAGTCAATACAGTCAATGAATAATGCCTTGTTAAGCCAACAAAAACTTATAATTGTACACAATACTACAACACAAATGGGATTAATTCAAAACGAGGTATTTTAACTCAGAGGGTGAAAACTCGACAGAAACGTGGATGTCTGGGCTCCCCATGAGATTTTAAAGCCCGATTTTCACGCAGTCTTGCAGAGTTAGAATGATAAATCATCTCTGGCAAGTCTGTTTTTCTCTCTGGTAGCCAGCAATTACAGCTGGTTTGACATCATCCAGAGGTGTAAACTTATGAAAATAGATAAATTTCCTTTAGTGTAAAAAATTAGATGATATTTTCTCCCTTACAAAGTTTTCAGCGTGTTTCATAGACCAGATATTCTAAACTTAAGTCACTAACCGCATAGATGCTTAATACAAAGTCACTCCCATAAACGCCAGTTTCAACTCAGTTTAATTTAGAAGTGACGAGTTTCTAAACGTCTGTTTCTCTTAAAAACTCAGGTTTTGGCCAGTCTTTCGGACAAAAAGTTACATCATATCCATTGTCACTCTCTTGGAACGCCGTGCTGTATAAGCTCTTCAAGCCTCGAAACTTCTGCTTTCCTTGGAAAAGCAAAACCATGAATCCGCGACGAAACTCCCTGCTAACAACAGAATATATCAGTGGGTTCACCGCCGAATTTGCAGTCGTGAAAATGACCAGTACATTGTGTAAAATCCAAAAATATTTGAAAAAGAAAACCCTGGGCCAATACAGAGCTACTAAGCGAAATACATTAATTGGCAACATAGATACTGCAAAAGTTACTACTAAAGGAGTTAGTATTCTCTTTGCTTTCGTGTTTTCTTTAAGACGATTGCTCCCATTCTTTAACTTCCGTCTTGTTACGTTTCCGTAAATGGTAGAACTGCGTTTTCTTTCAATTTCTTTGTTGAATCCTGTACTCTGCGCTATTCGTCCTCCAATTTGAACATACGTCCAGGAAATGATCGATAGGGGTACAACATATGTAAACATGGTAAGAGAAATAGTGTAAAACTGCCTCCAAAGAAAAAGGCTTGGTGTTTTAAACCAGTCAATAAAACACGCAGAAGTTTCTTCCTTGAATTCGATGACAAAGAAGAGAGGTAGCGATATAACTGAAAACGAAATTAACCAGATAGCGACAATGGCGAAGGTGGTGGTTTTTAAAGAGCGGTTTCTGTAGGCTTTGACGCGTTTCACGATGTTAATGTAACGCTCTACCGCTACGGAGGCAACCAGCCAAATAGAGGCACCGTAAAACGTATCGATAACAGGGTATACGTACAAGCAGACCCCTCTACCGAGCGGGAAATGACTCCTTATCTGCTCTTGTAGCACTGCTATGGGAAATACCACAATCAGGACTCCGATATCGGCGATGGCGAGGTTAAATAAATATCGATTTATGGAGGATTTTGTTTTCATTCTTGCGATAACCAAACAGACCAACATGTTGCCTAAAACTCCTACCATAGCGAGAGTAGCTTCAAAAGTTAATCGCCCTATAACTGCCCCAGCTGGTTCTGTGTAATATTCAGGAACTTGTAGCGGCGCTTCTGAGATAACTGTCGCTGATGAACCATTAATATTGGAGATGTTCACGTTGGAAACCATTTCACTGCACATTGATCTCTGTTTTACACAATCCACGGGAAATCCTGGATTAAGTTTTGTTTCCAGCAAAGTATGTGCGGAAATAATATAGCGTCATCGATACCACTGCAGAAAAATTAAGTGACATATATTTATGATTTCATTTTAAATCTGCAATTCGCCGCTTGAAGTCTAATTGGATTCCCGGCTGATTCCTTTGATGCGTAGAGGGTGGCAATAAATCATTTTGTAGACAGCTGGCTAACATGGTGTCAAAAACCCTCGAAGTTACGACACCTAAATGTTTTTCTGGTGAACAATTTCTGAGAGCGTTGTTTGAAAATTACACGGATTATACGATTTGGGGATTACATCCCAGTTGTTAGTAAAGGCTTTGCTCATTGAGAATTGCCTTTAAATGGGTTGTTCAGTCATTACATACTTATCACAGATACGAAGTTCAGAAACAGTAAATGCAATTTAATAGTTAAAGCATTTTCACTGATGTGACATGACTTATGATTTTGTGGAGAGGAGGATTTCTCGGAACTTGTATTTGTCAAGTTATCAAGTGGGAATGTCAGAACCTTCTCGAGTTCTCTGAGGTACATATACTTGACTCAAGTGGGATTAGTTTGATATGGTTTACCTTTCCTGACCAACACAGTAGTTTCGACACAATAATCGCTTCTCTGTTTACATAGAAAACAGTTTAAGTGTTTTAATCCTTCTCAGACTTTCAGGCTCCGTCCCATAGATGTCTCACTGTGTTAAGCTGTCAATGAAGCTTGGAATGATTCGAAGAAAACGCAGATTGAAAAAAGGGATGCATTTGAATACGAAAGTCAAATCTAATTAAACGGATTTTGTTAGACCCAGGTGTCTTTTCAAAAACAATTAAGAAGCCAGTTTCCTGGCCTTTACGGTGACTGCCAAAGGACCAAACATCCTAATTGAAGATAACATACTAAGTAGTTGTTTACGTCCTAAAGTCTGTAACTCGTTAGCCGTTACGCTGCCTCCCAAGATTTTGTTTTTACATGACCTTATCTCTTTTAGCACCTTGTTTTCTCAAACACGCAGAGTGAGAGGTAGCATACAAAAGCTGCCATTCACAACTATTTTCCATCTTTCCACTTCTCTATCCTGCGTTGCAATCGTTGGAAGGGTGGGCAGACGTTTTTGAGCGACGAACGTCAACCGGAGGGAACTTTTTCTTTTCTTGGGCAGTGGCGTTTCCCAATTTTTGGGCAAATCGATTATCGTGAATCGTCTCTGTAAGAGCAAAGACTCTTATCAATACAAATTTGGTAGCGTCAGGCGGTATTAAACATGGAAAATTCCTCAGTTCCGGTTGACGTGCGGCGCTGAGGGGCGCGAGTATTTACCTCACCTTAACCGGATTTTTCTTTCAAATGGTAAGCAGCTGCATAGGAGACTGGTAAGCACCCTTCTGTGAACCATTGGAGGATCGTGACTGAGTTGCTAGCGTCACAGGTGGCCAAGGCTCACTACAGGAACGCGGGCCTGACTCTTGTTTGAGAGCGGTGTTGTGTTACAAACGGTTATTTACAAAGGCTTGTATGGGGATGTAAACGGTTTTTCTTAAAACAGAGAAAAATTTTACGTTTTTAAATAAAATCGACTTACGTTATTGCCTTGTTGTATTCTTTGTTGTTTGCCCGCGTCTACGGCCCTTTTGAAGCGCTAACTGCAGTATTTTAAATATCAATAGATCACAAAACCAGAAAGTTTTCTCGACCGTGACTTTTGACAGCCACAAAATGCATCTGGTAGCTCTTTTGGGCCTTTTTACCGACCGAAAAGACAGATTTCCCTACCATTTCATATACTTCAATAAGTGAAATCCCTACCCTTTCATACGGACCTAAGGCTTGAAAAAGTAACCCCCTTTCCTGGCGGAGCCTCCCCGTACAGGTCATTATAGGGAGTACCCCCAGGGATTTGAAGCCATTTCAGTTTTACATGACATTGATCTGTTTCATTTCTGTCTGTCATCTTTATCCTGTTTATCTAACAGGGTCCTCAGGAAATCTTGATGAAATGATTTCCAACACTGAAAAGAAACAACGTATGCGGCTTGATGTTTTTTTCTTCGGGACGAAGACGGGTAGTTTGACTTGTGTTTGGTGGGTTTCATTGACAGAAAGGCTACAAACGGGTGCCGTGTCCCTGCAAAAACCGACAATCATATGACTGTTACAAGATCTTGGCAAACTTCCTAGCCAACTAGCCAAGCACCGATTCAACCATAAAGCCGCAGTGATTTTAGCCTGCGTAGCAAGCGTTTCTAATCGAGTTATTGCGCGAACGCAAGAGCCATAATAGGACAGAGAGGGACACTCCCAGTCACGCCTTTGGGATATCTTAATCCCAAAAAAGTTATTTTTAGAACTATGCGGACCATGCGGAAACAGTTTCCGGTAAACTGGTTGACTTCCGGAAGATTCAGCGCGCCAAAGCGAGGCGGGGTCAATAAATGAAAAAAATGGCTGCTAAAGTGGAGGGACAATGCGGAGGGTGTGTACTTGATAAATTGTCCTTCTTCAACGAAGAACCTACCATAGAAAATAGTTAAAACTTCTACACAAACGGATCCTTTACAAGAAACGGTAGAAATACAGTTAAAGCGACCGCGTGGACCATCGTTTTTGTTGGAACAGCTGGAAAGAGGACAAGTAGCATTGCGTTTTACACAAAATGCGCGGGTCCTACAAAGACGACCGTACAAGCGACCGTGTGGACGTATTTTCTGTTGAAAGAGGAAGGAAAAAAC